ATGAAGATGCTGCTGTTGCTTGAGAAAAGCAATTCAGTGTCTAAATTTGGGTTATATAACACATTTGTTCTTTATTGCAGGACTTGTCAGAGCTTTTAATACGCTAATATGCACCATGCATCCTTCAAGGTGTAGATACAATGTAGCGGCTGCCCATCTTGAGGGTGATGGAACTGTTCTCCATCTTGGTTGTAGTGTTGATGACGTGGCTGTATTCCTTTGTCAAAGCTCACAGTACTGTAAACTGAAAAGGGCGCGTTTTATGGATTGTAAATACATTTTTAAATGGTAACAATAATAAAAATAATTTAGGGGGGTTGGGGAAGGTAGTAATTAGGTTTTATCCAGTCATAACAAGGAACAATGCACTGATTCCTGCTACATCATGGATGAACCTCAAAACCATGACACTGAGTGAAAGAAACCAGACACAAAAGGCCACATGCTGTATGATTCCATTTATCTGAAATGTCCAGAATAGGCAAATCCACAGGCTACAAAATAGATTTGTGGTTGCCAGGGGCTGAGGGAGGGGGATGGGAGCAACTTCTTATGGGTATGTAGGGTTTCTTTTTGAGGTGATGGAAATATTCTGGAATCAGATAATGGTGAAATTGCACAACACTGTGAATGTACTAAATGCCTCTGAAATGTGAACCTTAAAGGGTGACTTTGATGATATGTGAATGGTATTTCAGCTTTAAAAAAATTGTACATACGTTTTTACAGCAGCCTTATTCATAATCTTCATAAACTGGAAACAACACAGACGTCCCTCACCTGGGGCATGAGTGAACAACCTGTGGTTTGTCCACACAATAGACTACCCCTCCGCCATAAAAAAGAATGGGCTCTTGATACACATAACGTGAATGAATCTCAAATCCATTATGCGAAGTGAAACAAGTCTCTTTTCTTTCAAAGGACTCAAGAGGCTACCTGCTAGATGATTCCATTTATGGGACATTCTCAAAAAGACTATAGAGGAACAGGCTGCCAGGAGCTGGCAGGGTGGGGGGGGTGGGGGGGAGCAAGGGAATTTTGAGGGTGATGGAATTCTTCTCTATTTTGATTGTAGTGTTGGTGACACGACTGTGTTTCTTTGTCAAATCTCAGTACTGTACACCAAAAAGGGTGCATTTTATGGCTTGTAAATACCTTTTTTGATATATTTTTATTGATATATAAATAAAAGTCAGTTTACAATGTGTCAGTTTCTGGGGTACAGCACAATACTTCAGTCATATAACAACATACATATATTCGTTTTCATATTCTTTTTAACCATGTTACTACAAGATATTGAATATAGTTTCCTGTGCCATACAGTATAAACTTGTTGTTTATCTATTTTATATATAGCAGTTAGTATCTGCAAATGTCAGACTCCCAATTTATCCCTTCCCAACCCCTTCCCCACCTGGTAACAATAAGTTTGATTTTTATGTCTGTGAGTCTGTTTCTATTTTGTAAATATATTTGTTTTTTGTTTTTTTTTTTTAGATTCCACATATAAGTGATATCATATGGTATTTTTCTTTCTCTTTCTGGCTTACTTTGCTTAGAATGACATTCTTCAGGTCCATCTATGTTGCTGCAAATGGCATTACTTTATTATTTTTTATGGCTGAGTAGTATTCTATTGTATAAATATACCACAACTTCTTTATCCAGTCATCTATCGATGGACATTTAGGTTGTTTCCATGTCTTGGCTATTGTAAATAGTGCTGCTGTGAACATTGGGGTGCATGCATCTTTTTGAATTAAGGTTCCCTCTGGATATATGCCCAGGGATTGCTGGATCATAATACATTTTTTTAAATTATGACAATAACAAAACTAGTTTTTTTGTTTTGAGGGGGAATAGTAATTAGGTTTTTTTTTTAATGCAGGCACTGGGGATTGAACCCTGGACCTAATGCATGCTAGGCATGCACTCTACCACTGAGCTATGCCCTCCCCCCCCCTTTTTTTATTTTGCTGTAACCATCCCCTCCTTTACAAAAAAAATGCCATACCCTCCCCTTTCTTTTTTAGTTTAATTAATTAATTTATTTTAAACTTTTAAAAAATGGAGGTACTGGGGATCAAACCCAGGACCCCATGCATACTAAGCGTGCACTCTACCACTGAGCTATAACCTCCCCATATAAAGTTCTTAAAATGACAAAATTATAGAAATGGAAAACAGATTGCTGGTTGCCCAAGTGCAGAGATAGGGCTAGGTGGGTACGGCTATAAAAATGCAACCAGAGGGATCTTTGTGATGATGGAACTGTTCTGTATCCTGCCGGTAGCAATGTCAATCTCCTGGTTGTGATATTGTGTTATAGTGTTGCAAGATATGATCATCGGGGGAGACTTAGTTAAGAATACGCAGAATATCTCTGTACTATCTCTTTGTTTTTAAAATATTTTTATTGTGATGAGATACAACAGTTACCATCTTGACCATTTGTAAGTGGACAGTTCAGTGGTATTCAGTTCATTCACATTATTATGCAACCATCACCACCACCCTTCCCTATAGCTCTTTCATCTTGTAGATCTGAAACTCTGGCCCCATTAAACACTAACTCCTGTGGGGAGAGTATAGCTCAGTGGTAGAGTGCCTGCTTAGCATGCATCAGGTCCTGGGTTCAATCCCCAGTACTCCTGTTAGAAATGAATAAGCCTAATTATCTGCCCCCTGGGGGAAAAAAATCCCACTAACTCCTCATTCTTCCCTCCAGCCCCTGGCACTTAACAATCCTACTTTCCATTTCTATTCATTTTCCTATTCCAAGTGCCTCACATAAGTGGAATCACACAGGATTTGTCCTTTTGTGACTGGCATCTCTCACTTAGATATAATGTCTTCAAGGGCAGCCACGTTGTAGCCTGTGTCAGAATTTCCTTCCTTTTTAAGGAATCTTACAGTGGATGGCCTCATAGTGGGCAACAGTATAGGCTGAAATACAGTTTGTGACTCAGTTTCCCTGCCTATAAAATCAGGGTGGTTTACATAACAGGGTGGCTGTGAGAGTTAATGAGATGATCCATTTGCATCCATGTAAAGTATTAGCTGTTCTCGTCATCATCATCATCCTGCCCATTTTATAGAAGAGGAAAGAGAAGCTCAGGGAGGTCAGGCCACTTGCTCCAGGGCACACAGCCTTCAAAGTGCCAAAAAAGGAGCTCCAAAACCACTGGTTTGACTGAGGGAGAACAGAATTCCCTCACCTGAGTCTGTCCTGTCCCTCCCTGAGGAGTTGACACTGCCGGGGACGGCCGCATGAGTAAGCCGGCGCCATCTGGTCGCCCCCATCCGCTGGCACGGGAAAGCCCGAGCTCACTTGGCAATCTCACCAATTCCTGAATGCCAAAGGGTGAGCCTCTGACTGGAGAATTGGGCAGTCGTTTGCTGCCCCCTGCAGATAGAAAGGGGGAAATGCAGGCACCGTGCCCCTCTTTGTCAGGCCTCCTCCAGATTTGGGGGACGCTCCCTTTTTCTCCCTCTTCCACCCGCTAATCCCCTCCCCGACCCCCGTCACCAAAAAAGGTCCCTAGCACAATGTGGGCAACAGCAGGCCAAAGTTAAATGCACAAGTGCACATAATTTTGGACTCAGCAATTCCACTGCTAGAGATTCAGGCCACTTGCAAAACTCAGGTAAGATTTGTGGGAGGTAGACGGTCATTGGTAGGGAGGACTTCTCTCAGCCATCCAGCCTTTGAGGAAGGTGTGATGGAGGTATACCTGCTGTCTTGGAATGAGTTTCAAAACATTTTGGTAAATGAAAAGCACAGAGGAAGATGAGTCACACTACAAAATATAAAGTTTAAAAGGATAGAAAGAAACAAAAAGAGAACTATGTTTGATTATGACAATAGGTCTGCTTATTCAACAAATTACTTGTGATCTCAGGGAATTAAAAACAAAAACAAACCAACTCATTGGAGTCCCAAGTGTTACGACACTGATAGCTCAGGGGTTTTGGTATACCTTATGCAACTATTTTCTCTTATTGCAGCCTCAAAGCCAAAGTGACTGAGAATCAACATTTTTATTCTCAGGAAAACCAAACCTTGCTGCAACTCTACCCGAGGAATGAAGGCGTCTGGAGTGAGCCCAAGAGAAACAAGATCTATGTCCATACAGAGACCTACACTGATGTTCACAGCAGCTCTATTCATTATAGCCACAAACTGGAAACAACTCAGGTATCTATCCACAGGTGAGTGGATAAACAAATTGAATACATTTATGTACAATGGAATAACGCTCACCAGGAAAAATGAAGTACTGTTATACCAAACAACAGGAAGAATCTCAAACACGTTATGTCTGGTGAAAGAATTCTAACTCGAGAGAACACGTTATGATTACCCGTATATTAAACTTTAAAAAAAGACAATTATATTCTACAGTGACAGAAAACATATTTGGAGTTGCCTGGGGAGAGGGATGGGGGAATTAGCTGGAAAAGAGAACAAAGGAACCTTGGGGTGATGGAATGTTCTTTATCTTGGTTGTGGAAGCGATTACATAGGTGTACAAATGTGACAATACTTATGAAAGGGTACAGTTTAAATGGGTGCGTTTTACTGATTATAAATTGTACGTCAACAGAATCGATTTTTAAAACTATTTTAAATACCACCAACATATATTTCACTTAATACCGTCATTTACCGGAAGCTGAAAAATAACTAGTATTTAAGTTTTCAAAATTAGGTTACCTATTGAACCCTCAAAATATGTCAGAAAAAGAGAACAGAACATCCACATAAGCGCAAAACACTCAAGAAAACATTGCGTTTTAGCAAGCAGGGTCTTTGCCACATCGGCTTCCCAGGTCTAGGTGCCCAATGCGGGGGAAAACTGAAGTGGGCACCAAAACCGGAAGTGTGGCACGAGACGATGACTCTCCAAGCCCTCCCCGGAACCAGGAAGTGTGGCCCGAGTCTAGAGATGAAGGGCTCACGCGCACCGCCTACCTCGACCAATCAAAATGAATGGAGGCGGGCCTTCGGGTGGAAATAGTGTTATCAAACAGGAAGTGTGACATTTACGTCCCGAACTTGAGACGGGCGCCATGGAGGTCTACGAGCAGGTCCAAAAGGGGCCCCTGAAGCTGAAAGGCGTCGCAGAGCTCGGCGTGACCAAGCGGTAAGCCTTGAGAGCCCGTGGGACGCCAAATTCTGCCCCTTTAAGCC